ACAAAGAGTAATATCTCCATTGATTAAACATGTTTTACTTTCTATGCCAACGACGCTGATTCTACGATGTATTACATCACAAATCAGCAAGATGTAGTATATATAATACTATATATTTTGTAGTAAATGAAATAATTCAAGTTCAAATGTATTTAACTGCGGGTTGTATGGTGTTTTCTCTATAAACGTAATAACATCTGCGGCGCGATAAGGGACACTTTGTAATTCAGTAGAAAGCTTCATATGCTAGAAAAACTTAGGAAAACTTGATAAACGATTGGTTGATCAACTATTCGTTGAATTCAGTCAACCAATCGGATCTCGAGTTTCTTAGTTTTCCAGCTAATAGGATACAACTGGCCTGGCAATGTTCTTAACTGGATCGGTTTCTTCGAGTTTTCCGCCGATCTGGTAAGAAAACACACACGATAACAGAGTACAAATTCTAAATAATAAAAAGAAAATAAAAAGGAAAACAATAGAAAAAAATGCGTCATATCGAGACGAAGTAATGAAAAATCAAGGAGACAGGCCATTTAAGCGAACCACGCCATGCCTGTTACTCTTGTGGCAATCATAGCATCTCGTGTCGGCATCGAGAACACGTCTTCTTGTCCGATAAATCGTCGAAGCCACGCGGTCGCCGTCAAGAAATCCGAGTTCTCGTGCGTCTTCGAGTAGCCAGTGGCGTGCCGCAGAGCGAGTGCGTGGTGTCGGTGTCGCGCGAGGGAACACGATTCTCTTTACACTCGCTCTCAAACCTGCACACGATAGAACACCAAGCACGCAACAACCCGCGGTATCGTCTCGTGTCGAGCAAAGCAATATAATAAAATAAATAGAGTTCGGCTTACTTCACCGGGGTTTCTTCCCCGTTTTTCGAGTTCTATCCGCTTCTCCATGGCCGGCAGACCCGTTCGTAGCTCTGTACACAGATCACTACACCTTCCTGCGTCGCAACAACTAGTCGCAACCTTGCTTTCAAACCCGGAATATGACGGACGGA